AAGCTGAGGAAAAGATCTTAGAACATTCTCTGAAATGTTCAGAATTTCAGAGGTCACATTTGTTTTATTCCATGAGAAGATCTAAAGAACATAGCCAACATTTACCTGGAGCCCTTTTTCTTTCACACAGCCTATTCTCGAGCAAAGCAACTACATTACATAAACATGGCCTTCTCCCAATACCACTTGTCAATTTTCTTTTACTAAAACAGTGCAAAGAAATCCTAAACACAGGAGTAAGGTTATTTCATGTTCTCACTACAATTTTAAAGATGCATTTACAGTGTTTTCTACCATCATTTGTCTGCCATCTACTAGGCCCACTTTCTCCTCCTTGACTCTGGTCTACCTTGTGCATTCTTGGAGTCTAAGAGGGCAGATTGCCTTTTGTACTCAGTGCTATTTTCCAAAATTATTTAACATTTCACATTTGGAAGGTATGTCAATGCTTGCAGAATAAAACACAATGGAAAATGTTCTACCTGTTTGGGCACTTTCTAAAGAAGGGACCGAACTTGTTCCAAAATACTGTCTGTCAAATAGTCACAAATTCTGGGTACATGATTGCATATCTAGTCTTCCTTCTAGACTGAAAAGAGACACTAACGGGGGAGATTAAGTTGTAACCTACCTTGATGGTGGTCTCATCTGGATCGTCTTGCCTTTTGGCTATGAATCAGCTCCTTGGCTGTGGTATGGCTATTTTGCCAATGGATTCTGGCCATAAGCTGCTGTATCCAGCCCATGAGAATCACATCTATGTAAGGGGCTCCTCTGGTGACAGTCACCTATGCCACCCCCTGTACCAGCATTAGGGACTTGAGGAGAGAAAAGGGTGCATAGCTGAGGCAATCTTATGTTATGCCAATCTTAAGCTGTCATTTTGTCTCCTTGGATCTATTAATAGACAATATGAGTTGCAGCAGCCTTTGGGCTACTTTAACATACACCTGGGGGCTGGCTCTGTTTTCAGCAGCCCCAGCATTAGGGGGTAATGCAAAGGTGAATATAGCCAAGAATCTGGCCATGTGTATTTATCTTTGCAATTACTCCATCCAAAAATTTTACAGAAAAAGCAAGCGCATTGCTGCCTGTCACACTATCAACCACTGCACCCACATTATTTCCCATCATAATATATACATGCCTATGACATGGGAAAGTTAGCATCAACCTTTTTTTATTAAAACATTCTCCTGGAATATGGATCAGCTTTAAAAAAAAACTATTGCACACTACTAGACTCCATAAGGCAAGACTGTTCAGACGGGAGCCCTGTCAAAGTCAATCAGCTTCCTGGCAATAACCTTGACAATGTCTATTTAGCACCAACCTTATTCTGTGGCCTCCTTTCTGGATGTAGATGTCATGTGAAACTATGACTTCTAGTTCATAAAGGAGCAATAGATACACAGAGTCCTTAGTTTTATGAGCTTTAGAATAGTTTACATAGGTTCTTCAAAATATTAAATATATATAATTGGCGAATACTGTCAAGCTGCTTTAAAACTAAATCTGTTATTGTTAATCTGAAACATAAATATTTTAAACTATTTGCAGGTACTGGGATTTTTTTTTTCTACTGAAGCACTAGGACATGCTGTTTGTCCTGTTTCAGTGTAAAAAAAAACATTGCTAGACTAAGGAGCTAAGAAAGGGTATTTTTCCCAGTCTTGACTAGGGTATTGTAACAAGATTGGTGGCCCATTGAGTTGAGTTGAGCCCCCATATGTAAATATTCAGTTGCCTACGAGCTGATGTTGTGAGACTGGGATCTGGTGATTGCTTGAAGATCACCTTGTCTCCATAAGAGTCAGCAAGAAACTCCGTTATTAGCGAGAGCTGAAGGGAGTAGGTAGGCTCCTGGAGGAATCCTCATGTCAGGGGAAAGAACCCAGATCATATGTGACTCCCAGGTAGCTGGCCTGTGGAGTGTAATCCTGCAGGGAGCAGACTACAAAGGAGAAAGGAGCAGAGGCGCTCACCTTGATTCCAAGAAGGTGGACTGCAAGGAGTACACAGGTTCCTGAAGAAGACACCACATCAGAGGTAAAGGACATGATTGAGGTGTTGAACTTATGTTAAACAGTTTTATTTTGAAGAAATAAATTGAAAAAATATTTGAAGAAATAAAACTGAAGCCCTGAACAAAAAGATACAAACTCATGGCTGAAGTGTTTTTTGGTGTATGGACTTGTGAGTTAGCCCACAGGTTCAACATGTATCAAATACAGATATGCATATCAGCAACATATGAAAGTAATCTCAAAATAGGGACACTAACTCTGCAATCCAGGGAGTCAGGATTCTCCAGGGTTCATCAACTGAGTATCCCTAATTTACACAGCTGTCAGAAGAAAGAGTCCCTGTCTCAAAGACTACAAAATGTAGATTAGACAGACAACATGGTTTAATGTCTAACACAACCGATGATGGATCTCTCTCACAGCACAGCAGATTCCGTTCTTTTATAAATCCTTCCTCTTTGATGGATTATTGCTGAACGGCTCCCCAAGAGAAGTGTGTTTTGAATGATGAGATGGCAATTGTTTGGTGTACAAAGGAAGAGAGAGAATGCCTTTTGGAAGGGACAGCATGGAAGAATGCATAAGGGGAGGAAGATACAACATTTACTTAATAGCAATAGACAACCCTGACTCTTGACAGCAATGTGTTAAAACACAAATAAGTTCACTATTTAACTGCAAGATATATTTATTAAGAAAGGTTTAGGTGAGTTGTTAATTCAGAGTTTTGCAGTTCACTAGCTGACACTATAAGTATCCCAGATCCAGTGTTTACTGTACTGTGTACAACCAATTAGTTACAAGGCTCCCAAATGGAATACGGTCAACAGAAATTTTATATTTCACCTGCAGAATCAGTTGTTGTTTGGGTTTTTATTTGACAGTAACGTTTTTACAACTCATCCCTCAGGCAAGATCTCTCCCCATAGCAGTTTAGGCTCATAATGCAGCATTAATAAGTGTGCTCAGTGCCCTCAAGGGAATTGCTATTTTTTAATACCTCAAGTAGGTCATGTTACAGATTAACTGACCAATTCTGTTCTCACCTTCTCCTCCCTCACTGCCAACCTTCTCCAGAAAGGACACACTTTGGTGATTATCTTGCCTTGCACCTTCTGGTAACAGAGTATGTCTACACTGAAATTAACCTGCAGCTGGCCTGTGTCAGCTGACTCGGGCTGGTGGGGCTCAGGCTGTTTAATTGCAGTGTAGACATTTGGGCTCCGGCTGGAGCCCAGACTCTAGGACCCTGTGAGGTGGAAGGGTTCCAGAACCCAAACTCCAGCCATGGGTGTCTAACTGAAGTTTGGACATAGCCTTAGCCAGGTTCCAAATAGCAGAAATTGAGCATTTCTGATTGGAAATGATTTCCCTAAGAACAAGAAGAAGAGAGGAATAATTTTTGCAGGCATTAAATGCAAGTAAAGAAGGCACAGAGTTATGACAAGTATGATTTTATTGCTCTCTAATAATTGCTTAGTTAAAAAAGCTTCACAGATATTCCATCCTAAATGGTCCCTTTTACACAATGATTCTATTCCTGCTACTGACAGCATGGTGGTAGACTGCTGCACATGAGCAGAGTTCCACTGAAGTCAACTGGACTGTGCATGGGCATAACAGTTCACCTTTGCGCTATCAGTTACGGGATCCAGGCCTTTAATATTACTTATTATTTGTATTACAGCAGTGCCGAGAGGACCCATCTAATATCAGGATGCCGTTGTGTTAGGTGCTATATGAGCACATAGAAAGAAATAGTCCCTGCCCTGAAGAGCTTTCAGTTTAAATACACAAGACCGACCACGGGTGGGAGAAAGGAAGCAGCATTAGGATATTTTCTTCATAACAAAGTTAAAAGAACACTGAAAATGTTTAATCTGAGACCTTGCCCAGCAATATGACTTATTTTCCATTCCCCCATTTTGCATTTTAACACCATATGCAATTAACTAGACTCAATAGGACAAATTCTGCCTTAGATGCATTTGTGTACTTCTTTCATCATAGCAAGGGCTGTGGGGCTCACATTTGAATGGGGAACTGGACCCCAAGTTATTCCAACATAATGAGCAATGTTGGCAGCTTAAGAGCACTGAAAATGAAGAAAACAATTTAATGCTCAGTTATTCACAATGTTAAATTACCTCAACACTTTACAGAGCACATCCCTTTAATTGTCTTGTATTCATTGTAACAAAAATATTTAGAGGCTGTGATGTTGATGCTAAATGACTCTGACATGTGGTTTGCAATATTTTTGAAAATAGTTAATAATTAATGACTCCACTTTTTAACATCTAGTGTTCTTTCATGTCTATATATTAATATTTAATTTGATTACAAAGCACTACAAATTAACTTGTTTGTTCTTCAGCGAAAAGATTAAAGCACATGTTCTGTTGTTTTGCTTTTTAAATGTAGGTTTAAAAAAAGCTGAATTGGCTTTGAACTGTAAACCCAAGCTGTCCCCAGGAGAACCTACCTTAATAGCCGACAAAAACTTCTCCTATAGCTGAGCCGCTGACTAGCTGCAGCCACACTGGGAGGAAATGGAGGGCGTGATGGGAAGTAGGCTAGTACTGCAGAAAATATCAGGGAGATCATTCCAAATTCTAAGAGACAATTAAGAAAAACCAGTTTAACATTGTGATGGATTTTAACAGTGAGAGCTTATTTTAATACAATGAAGTTATCTAGCCTATTTCATACAAAAATTGTATGCCAAATGCTTTATAAACTTCAATAATAGAACTATAGATCTAAAACAATAGGAAGAGGAATTAAGGGAATATATTTTTAAGCAAGATTGGGAGTCAATTAGGAAGATAGATATAGGCAGGTTATTGGCAATGGCAGGAGCTGCAGAGGTAAAGGCTTTTGCATCAACAGTTATAACACTACCTGAAGAGACAGAGAGGAGTCCAGTGCAGAGACGGACAAGGTCTGTGAGGCCGGCTGGAGCAGGTCTGCTTGTGGTTTTAAACACAAGGAGGATAATATCAAACTGGACCCAAGTGGATAATTCTGAGGGCGTGAGGGCAGTGATGAGGTTACTTTTCATTGTGTGAGAAGACAGGTAGCAGTACATGCTAGAGTTTGGACAGCTGGGACTTGGGGAAGCCTTAGAGCAATGACTTTCAATAGTCACAGCACAGAGTGATGAAGACATGGAAAAAGAATTCAACAAGAGAGAGCACACACAGAGAGTGTTACTGTGGTAACAGACAGATTTACAACATAAGAAGGAAAGTACAGTCAGCCATGCCCCAAGGAGAGAATGGACACAAATGGGAGAGAAATGAAGAAACAGAGTTGTTTGCAGATGCTGCTTTTGCTCAACAGCAGTGGGTCTGTCTGTCAGAAATGTCAGTGTGGCCATTTGGGCCTGAACCTGCATGAGTCTCATGATTAGACTTTTTGAGAAAAAGCCACAAATGTTAATCAACCCCCAGCCCATCTAACATTTATAGGCATTTACAATTTACACAGCATTCTCCCTATTCACAGGCTTAACCCTAATATGCTAGTTAACCCTAATATCCTAAACTCTTAAAAACAGGATTCTTTACTACTGTATAGGCAATTCCTATAGCTATGGATTATGTCCTCGGAGGAGCACCTGGGATCTTATTACAAAGAAGTGATTCACCAGTACTACCTGGAAATACTATCTAGAAATCCAGTAGTGCTGGGTACTAGATTGCTTTAGCTTCCTCCTCTCTAAATACCTTTTTTTTTTTTTTTTTTTAAATAAAGTCAATACAGAGAGAGAAGGCACTTTGCCAACTGCTCTGCCAAATGAGGGGAAAATAATTCATGAAAGTGAAAAGTAAATGATACACAGAATCTGAACGGACCAGGTGGGGGAAAAAAAACCAGAATAACTGTTTCAGTATGGAAAAAAAACTATAAACACACAGGATTTCTTTTGAGGGTGAATTCTTGTAGATTTGACCATTTTGTTCTCCAGCATCAAATACTAAATGATTCACTTTGGACGAAGCCGTGTTTCCTTTTCCTACTGCTGTCTCATCATAAAAGGATTGTCTTTGAGGGTGAAGGACCCCCACTGTACACTATAACACCACTGGCTCTAGGCAAATACAGTAAGTTCTATGCTGCTGTACATTACTGCCTTCAAGGAAATAAATGGTAAATAAGGAATTGGCTATATTGTAACTGAATAAACTCAGACTTAAAAAGAAGAGAAGAACTTTCTGTGATACTGGGGTGAAGCCTAGAAAAGGAGGCAAGGTATGACAATAACAAATTTTTTTTAAAATGCCTTTTATTCCACTTTCAAAACAAGATTTCAGAATTACATGTGGACACATCCAAAAGATCATCTGGTTAGAGACAAATCTGGAGATTGGCTAATGTACACTACTATTTAGCTATTATATAGTTTAACTATAAATCAGAAGGTTTAACTCTTTTTAAAATTTCAGAGTAGCAGCCGTGTTAGTCTGTATCCGCAAAAAGAAGAACAGGAGGACTTGTGGCACCTTAGAGACTAACAAATTTATTAGAGCATAAGCTTTCGTGGACTACAGCCCACTTCTTCGG